TTGGAACAGCATTTTGAATCTGAAGCTGCCCCACTTACCCCTATTACTGTTAATCATAGAAAAGATTTGTAGAACAATCCAAATCCATTTCGTCATTTTCTACACAGAGAAAACACTTAAGAAACACTTTCTAAGAATGAAAATCAATCGAGTTTCAATTAAAATTCATTACTGATGTTAAATAATAAATTCTACACAATGAAAATGAAAGAAAGGGAGTGAAAATCATCAAAAATCATTGAAAAAGTTTATTTTAAAACAAAAAAAATGTGTGTAATTTTAGTTTGAAAGCAATTAAAAACCAACTTCTAAGAAGTTATAGTGAAAAAGACTTATGATCAAACAATGTGTATAAAATTAGTGAATTATTGAATAGCAAAAAGAAAACAATGCTTTGAAAAATGTTGGTCAATTGACGTATTTTGTCTTCATAATTTCACCAACTTGTTTTGCTTATTCACAACACAAATTATATATGCCATAATAATGAAGTCTTTTACTGCGCGAGTTTCCGCAATTGATTGAATAATTGTTGGAAAAATTCACCTAATTATATCCATTCACACACCAATTATAAGCATCCAATTTCCAACCCATAGCAATTGAGCAACACTTTGACGAAGACACATATATGTATGTATGAATTGAGTAACAATTCACCATCTCAGTCGCAACTTCTTCGAAGGGGTCGTGCGCGTTGTTGATCTAATTTGGGAGAAATGTGATTGTGTTGTTGCGCCTCTGGAGAGGAAGAAAATAAAATCCCACGGAAAGTAAGCGCATAAAATTAGAATTTTGCCCTCCTCATCAACCATCATCACCAATCAAGTGTTAATTGCTCACTTGTGCGCGCGCGTTCATCTGAGATTTCTCGCCGTGATTATTGTGCCAGTCGACGAAACAATGATAGGAGAAGTCTTTGCCGCCACTTTTCTCCTCATCAATTAATTACATTCATGGGTTGTATATATGACTATGTGAGAGAGGGTTAAAAAGTGAGAAAAAATACAACGTCTTATGGGCAATTTTTAAAAATATATATTCAACGCCGCATTCTGCTGGCAAACAAAGCCAACAACAACAGCAAATGGTAATTTATTTGCCTCTGACTCACACACCAACTCTCGATTACGCTCTTCAATCTAAACTTATATGTCTGCTTTTGCCCACAATATATGAAGAATTCACATCACAGCACGATTCTCGAGTTGAGGACACAAAGAACAGAAAGAGAGATGCTGAAAGTGCGTTCTGCAAATTTTCTCATCATATGGGGAAATTCTCAATGATAATTATCTCTTATCAAGGGGGAGATACTACGGCTAAACAGTGTACACAACTTCCAAAACACTTCTGCAATTCCTCTGCAGAATCTTCAACACTTCCAGACACTTCTTAACACCCTTAAAAATGCATTTTCCATCACTTTTTCCACTCCATCAACTCTTTCTCACACTCAATTCTGACTTTTTCACAATAGAATCAAATTGTGAGGTTATGAATTCTACTTAGAAAATTCCTCTACGACTAATTTAAATTCCTCCAAACATTGAAAATGAGTAAAAATAGTGAAATATGTCAATATTTCTACGAAAAAACCGCGAAAAATAACCTAAAGAAACACTTTTCTAGTCTGAAATTAAATATTTTTTGAGGTTATGCAATCATTTCAATACTTTCAAGCTTTTTCTCAATTCAATATGACGTTTTTCCGATCCGATATGCTGAAATTTACAGAGAAAAAGAGAAATATTTGCAGTTTAAACAGAAATTTGATGATTTTGAAGGTTATTTTATCACATAACCTATAACAAAGCAATAAAATTCAATTTTCTAGTCAAAGTAATTTAAAAAAAATGCTTCAATTTGTCGAAAAGATTGCTTTTTCAGTAAAAATATTCTTGTACAGTGAAAACTGTGAAAATAATCAAGGCACAGAGTTATTTTTCTGTATTTAAGTGATATTTTTGAGGTTATGTGTGACTTTTAGGCTTTTTCTCAATCAATATGAAGAGTTTTCGCTCCAAAAATGCTCAAATCTGCCAAGAAACAGAGAAATTTGATAATTTTATATATTTTTTGAATCAAACATAACCTCAAAAAAGCAATAAAAATTATTTTTAAGCAAAATTAATTAGGAAAATGTCTCAATTTGATTGAAATTGAAGCTTTTTCAGTGCAAATATTTTATATATTTTGCCACTTTCACTTCTAAACACTTCCTTTCCATCTGTACACCATCTCAGACCATAATATCTCCCCCTTGTCTCTTATCTTTATTCTGTGGAAAATGCAAAATCACCAACCTTTGATCGTCAAACTTCAAACAGTTGATAATCAATGTGAAAGCCAAGGGGGAGATAAAACTATGACTTCAGTCTGAATACGAATTTCTGAACACTTTCACACACTTTTCAAGATCATCTTAGAAGAAATTGTAGGAAAAATTAAAATAACCCAAAATTTTTGGTAGTTTGCAAAATATTCTGTCATTCTTGTTTTGAAGAAATGCCTCAATTTGTTTATAAACAGCCTTCAAGAAAAGAAATATGACAAAGATTGAAACACTTTTACATACATATTAAATATATCTCCCCCTTGGTGAGAAAATACACGGAAAAAAGTGCCTCATAAACCACTTAAGAAAGCTTGTGGATTTTTGAGTATCACAAAGAATTCGGCCGATGTGATAAAGAAAGGCAATCAGATGGAAAAATTGGCAAAATAGGAGTGAGAAAAAAAGAGCCATTTGGCGGCAGTCAATAAAAATTTGGCCCAAAAACCAAATATCACACACCATTAAGCCAAAAATTTTCCCATAACCATTTGGCCAATCTCTAATGTATATCCCACTAATGTATGATAATGTTGACATGAGAAATCTAATTAACAAATTTGGCCACTTCCACGCACAGCCGCCAGAGCGCCATCAAGTGTTGTGCAATTAAGCCCAATTTGAGCAGTTCTTGTGATCTTTACACCCACACAAATTCATGCAAATGGCCTCACAGTGGCTCTGATTTCGCCGCCCTCGCGCGCGCAAGACACTCTTAATGTGACGCACCCGAAGATGAAGAAGTGCCTCTTTACCTCTGTCCATTGACGACGATCACAAAGCACCCGCACAACCACGGGTGACTCACTTTGCCAAGGGCAGGAGAAAAAAAAACCACTCAAATTCTCCCTCAACAAGAGCCAAGGGGTCAATCAATCGCAAGTTGAGACCATTAACTTTGTGATTTTAATGCAAATTCTGATTTTTTTTGATCATTTTCTGAATATTTCATTAAAAATTGATTATTTTTTGAATATCTTTTGATTACTTTCTGAATATTTCAAAAAAATTGATTATTTTTTACATTATTCTGATTATTTTTTTTAATTAATTTATTATTCAATTTTATTTAGGAAAAACATCATTTTGTATGATTGAATATTTAATAAAAAATAAAATAAAATAATTAGAAATGATAATTTTTTAATATTCTATTGAAAATTTGTTAATTTTGCAATTTTTCTTGCGAAAATAATCTTTTTCTTTTACTATTTTATTTAAAATTTGATTAATTTTGCAATTTTACTTATGAAAAACATCATTTTTATTATTTTTATTTATGATTTTTTTACTCAAATAATTGATATTATTTGATAAAAGAGAACATTAAGTTTCCTCAAAACAAAACCCCTCTTAAATTCACCCCCACAACAAGAGCAAATAATCGAGAAAATTACACGTTGAGTGGCAAATTCATCGACATTCTCGTGACTCAATTGCAGCTTTTGGCGCACGTTCGCGAGGGACAAAAATGACCCCGTGTGTGTTATTAATTGTTTGCCATTTGCAGATCGCCCCGAAGCGCGACAACGCGCGTAGTTCCATGCCATGCAGTTGAAGACCAGATGTTAGACTGCTGAGTGGGGTGAGACACTCTTCAGCCAAACAAAGGACAATTTAACCCAATTCCCAACCATCAATCTTCAATTTGTTATCGCCCAGAGAAAGCATTCAACTTTTTTTGTCTTAATCACAAACACACCAATTGGATTAAAATGCCATTGAATTTGATCAAAGAAATGAAGTCACTGCATATTTTCACAGTGATAACGACACTTATTCAAATTCAAATTGACGTCAGAGTCTGTCAAAGTTTCAAAAAATACAAATGATATATATTTGTTGATGTGATAACACAACTAAGCTTGAGAAAGAATGTGGGAAAAAGGTGGAATCAAAAAGAAAAGGCTCATTGCCATGGACATAGAAGAAATTCTGTGATTCTTTATGAATTTCTATGAAATAAAGAAAATTGGAGAGCTTTTTGTCACTTATATCAACATTTAACAACTGAAAACAATGCAAATTGAGATAAATTTGCCTTTTATTAAGCATTTTTGCGTTGAAAAAGGTTTAAATTGAAAGGATATAGCTTAATTAGAGAAGAAAAACGCGAAATAACCTACTTAAATAGTTTATTTTCAAAGGAAAAGAAGCAGGCTGTGTTCTTCATGACATTATGACTACTTTGGTACTGAAAATCTTTCAATTACATCACCAAATGATGACATAACCTCATTTCTAAGATATTCTAATCAGAAACATCAGAAGATTTTGTGAAATTTTAGGAAATAATCGTGAAAATCGCCAATGAAAGTAAATTTCAAGCATTTTTTGACATTCATCCTCAAGAATTCGATTTTAGAGCTGAGAAAAATGGTGTGAGAGTAATTCACTGACACCTTTCTGTCCGTCGCCCAGTGAGTGCAATGGTTCTTATCAGGGCGGAAGGACATTCCGGACAGGAAGTGGGGCTCTCGGCGCGGGACGTGGGGGCGCGCGGGGTGATTGAAAGGGGGCGGCGGCGGCGGTGGGGGTGACAGGAAGTGACGGAGTGCGCATGGTTCCTCCGGTGGGCGACGCGCAACAGTTCATTGTCCGCACGGCCGGGGGTGGAAAAAAATCAATTTGGCCACCGATGGGAATCAATCAGTGACCCACTTACTTGTCGTCCGGGAGTCTCTTCAGCTCCGCCATGTCCAGCTCCAGGCGCAGATTTGCCACTTCGCATAGCAACCTATCGCGGTCGGAAGTCACTTCGCGCAGCTTCTCGCGAAGGAAGTAGTTCTGCCTGGCCAGATCCTCCATGGCGGCGCACTCCGTTGTGTCCACGGATGGCACGCACTCCTGATCGCACATGGGGGGGACACAGTGGGTCACGCACAAGCACAAGCACGGGGGCGGCACAGAAACAGAGAGAGAGATACAGAGATTGAGACTGTGTCCAGATAGCGGTTAAAACAGCACTCTTGCACAACACGCAGAAGCACACTTCACACGCGTGGAGGGAATTTCCTCGACGCAGCACGCACACACGCAGCCACTCACGCGGAAATGCACGGGGAAAGTCACAATTTTCACTGAGAATCGCAGCTTGGATTCACGCGTCCGATTCACTCGCCAGACATATTCAAAATGTCAACAAAACAACATTACCGCCACTTTGACAATCGATGAATATGCGCAATTCAGCACCGTGGCCATGACGGTTGCTGACAATCGATGGCGCGGGAAGTAATTTGCACGACAATATTGTGTGGATTGTGTGTTTTTCCACGAATTGTCGATAGATTGAGGTAGAAATTAGTGCATTTTCCCATATTTAACACTTTGCAGATGTATTTTGACAACTTTGAGGGAGAAAATCCAGGAATTTCTCTCATTTCTCTCCAGCACAATAGTAATAAACACTTTCCCATGGTGGCGCTGCGCGGTGAACACTGTTTTTTCGCCCAAAAATAGGCAAATGAGTAGCAATGAAGCACCGTTATGGAAATTTGAATGGCAAAGTGCACAAGTTACAGGGTGTATCACTTGAAATTCACTAGAATATTCATTATTGATTTTTCTCAGCTCTAAATCCATGCATGGAGAGCGTGAAATGACGGATGGATAGGCAGAAAATCTCTGTGAAACCCCTTTAAAATGCCTTGAACACCCATTAAATACCCAATCAAAGTGTGAAAGTGCAGCTTTTACGAGGATCATCATCACATGTATTTTATCAATCATCTGGCGATCCTTCGTCATCTTAAATATTTGTTTCGTTCTTCTCTGGACACAACAAAAATACATTTGAACATGGGCTAATGAGGTGATGACGTGGCAAAGGGAAAATAGCGTGAAGAATGTTGTAAGACGAATTGTCTGGGCGTGAGCAGAATTGATAATTGATTGTGAAATGAGCCTGCAAATTGTCTGCGGGGCAAATTGATTAATTTCTCACCAACCCCTCGCGAACGTCTTGCCAATGCGCGAAAGCGTGGATTTATTTTGAAGGCGCAAACCCGCAAGAACCCCAACAAAGGCTATTGAAAGCTCACGCTTGCATCAATTAATCATTTTTAATAAAGTTGATTTTGTTGCGGTTGCGCCAAAAATTGTTCTTCAGCAGAGTTGGTGGCGACAAAACTGTGTGCAGATTGAGGATTTTTCCACAATTTCTCGTCATATTTACTCAGCAAAGGGGGAGATATTATGGTCGAGAAGTGGGTTTTCGAAGTAGAAATGCTTGAATATCATCAATATTATGAGTTTAAAAGTCTCACTTTCAACAAGGAATTAACACAATGAAATTGGTGAAAAAGAATTGTTCTTTGTATTTTTCTAGGTTATGTTATGTTGTGAAATTTAAGACAAAACTTTTTCCATCTAAATAACCATCAAAATCATCAAGTTTTGCCACCTAAATTGGCACAATTTGCAATTACTTGTTGAGATTAATAATGAAATTTGATGAATATCAGAAGGTTTTTTTTTCATCATTTAAAACTGTGTTAAATGTGCTAAAATTGATCATAACCTCTAAAAAATATTGACTATTTCAAGAGCTCTTTGATTGATTGATTTTTTCTACCTTAAAATAACAAATTTCAACTCATTGTCGGATTTGTTCTTGCTTTTAAAACGTTCCGAATAAATTTCTTTCACGGATTCTTTTCGATATTTCAAGACAATTTCTAGGTTATGTTTTCAAAGTACCATTGAAAAGATCGCTTTAAAACTGAATAACATCAAAATATCCACTGAAAACTTCAAATATATCTCAAATACTGTTTCTCTCAAAGTTTTTAGGGTCATAAAAGTATAAAAAGGCGTTAATTTTACCTTAAAATTATTTTTATTGCTTTTTTGAGGTTATGTTTAACTTAAAACAGATTAAATTGTCAAATTTCTCTGTTTCTTAGCAGATTTGAGCATTTTTGTGTGGAAAAAAACTTCATATTGATTGATAAAAAGCCTAAAAGTCAAACATAACCTCAAGAATGTCTCAGAAAATTCTCTTTTTTTAGTTATTTTTGCGGTTTGTGCTCTAAAATGGCAAATTTAACCTCATTTTTTAGTGAAAACATTGTGATATTCGCCATATTTAATCTTTTTCGGCTTTTAAGTACTTTTTAAAGCTGAATTCATAACCTCACAATTTACTCAGAATCGTTTTTCAAGCTTTATCTGAAGATTAAACTAGAACATCACGACAATAATGCATTTTTAGGGGTGTTAAGAAGTGTCTGGAAGTGTTGAAGATTCTGCAGAGGAATTGCAGAAGTGTTTTGGAAGTTGATGTACATTGTTTAGCCATATTATCTCCTCCTTGTTTCTCACCATTTGCGTGCTGTTCAACTCTGGGCGATGGCGCGGTGTGTTTGTGTGAAAAATGCCATCGCGAAAAGGCTGGGTGGAAAAAGACTTTGGCTCACACAGTGGACGTGAAAAGGTGGATTTGCACCTTTTTGTCACCATGCATCGACCGAAGAGTTTCTTTTTTTTTGCCACAGAGTCAAAAGGGAGCCACGCAAGAGTCGCATAAATCACCCCAAATGGACTCTGCCACCAATAATCTCAATAATTGGATGATTTATTGGTGAATATTAGCTGATGGCAGGCCGCGAAGTGCGACTCCCGCTCTCACAAGTGCAACTGGAACGTCGTAAATAATCCTCCTTTGTGGCATCTCACCTTCGTGCCTCTCTTTGCCCAATGCAGACTGCGGAATCTAAACAAATAATTTCCCCACAATTCACATCTCTCAATATGCAATTTACGACTGAGTGTTACAGAAGGATGTTCGCTTCTATTACAACAGCAATGGCGACTTAACGGTTTGAAGGTATGAATAACTTTTGCTAGGGTGAAAAATGCCTTGAATTGCATGAGAGAATCTTTGAACGCTAAAATTGAGCACTTTATGCAAATAAAAAAAAACTAGGAATATTTTTCTAATCTTTTTAACCTTAAAAGGATTTAAAAGAGTGCCAAAAAGACTTCCTAAGCGAATTCCTAACCTCACACTTCATTGAGAATCCTTTTCGCCATTCTTTTGATGTGCTTTCAGGCCAGATATCAAAGAAGCAGTGAAATCAATTCTCCGAATTTAAAAACTTAAGACTCTTTTTGAAATGGATAAACCCTCGATTAAAAATTATGATAAAGTAGGAATAAATATAGAAAGAATTTAAGAAGTCTAAGAGGTGATGAAAAGATAAGAAAATGCATTTTTCATGACACTTTCAAAGTGTTTGTCTCCCCCTTGACTTAATTAATCACGATTTAACGGAGTTTTCTCACTCCTTTTTTTTCTACTCCACTTAAAAGTAACAATTTGGGGTTCATTGTGAATTATTGCAATCTTTGAATTTGTGAGGTGAAAAGTGATTTCGCCAAGAGATATCAAATGATATTTCATAATAAATAAAAATAATTACAAGAGTGCAAAATCAATTTGTGGAACCTTTTGATTGGTTGTTTTGCCAAAAAATTGTCTGAAATATCTCCAAATATATAATCAATTCCTCAGTGGTGGCCACAAAGGCCATCGAGGAGTCACAAATTGAAATCGAATTGAGTGTCTTGTGGGAATAATTAACTGTGTAATGGTCAAAAGATCTCTTCATGCCTCTTTCTTTCGCGGGCCTTTTTTCGGCTGGTGGTTGAGCTGGCGCGTTAAAGAGAGGATGGAAGGCGTTTTGTTGGGTCACACACAGGGCCAAAAGAAGAAGAGAGAAAATAGCACCATCATTGCCAAGCAATTCATTTTGCTGACGGATTCACAACCGAAAAGGTGTTGTCCGTGTGTAATTCCTCTCGCTTTTGGGCTTGTAAATAAATTGACTACCGAAGAGATTCTCCCATAGAATGAAGTGGAATATAACAATTCAGCGCGCCGGAGATTACAAGACGCCCCCCCGCTTGGCGATGGATTTCATCGGATGGGCTTCTTCTTCTTCTCTCCATAGAAGAGAGAAACCCAATGGGAGGCTGAGAATGGCTGATCATCTCGTTAAAATCTATAATTACAATCGATCCCATATACGCCAAATTTGGACTTTCATCGCGCGCGTCTAATTAATTAGCACAAGGCGTGCGCCAAGGAGGAGATAATATGGTTAAAATCTGTACACTAACTTCCAAACACGGCTGCAATTCCTCTGCAGACTCTTCAACACTTCTTAACACCCCTAAAAATGGATTATTGTCGTGATTTTCTAGTTTAATCTTCAGAAAATGCTTGAAAAACCATTCTGAATAAATTGTGAGGTTATGAAAGCCAACTTTAGAACCCTTTTGAACTAATTTCAACCCTTTTCAATCCCTTTTACAATGTTTTTACTTGATAATAAAGTATAAATCGCAAAAATAACCGAGAAAAGAGGTTAAAATGACATTTTTGAGGTTATGATTGACTTTCAGGCTGTTTTCTAACCTAATCTTAAGTTTTTTCGAACGCAATTGCTTAATTTTGCCAAGAAAAGTGAAGAATTTTCAGTTTAAACACAAATTAGATGATTTTGAGGGTTATTTTATCACATAACCTAAAAACAAAGTGATTTATTTGATTTTTTTAGGAAAAGTAATTAAAGAAAATGCATCAATTTGTTGAAAATCAAGTTTTTGCAGTGAAAATATTCTTGTACAGTAAAAAATGTGAAAATAACCAAGCCAAGACACATTTTTCTGCATTTAAGTGATATTTTTGAGGTTATGTTTGACTTTTAAGCTTTTTCTCAATTCAATATCAAGTTGTTTCGCACCAAAAATGCTTAAATCTGTCAAGAAACAGAGAAATTTGACGATTTAATATATTTTTTTTAATTAAACAGAACCTCAAAAAAGCAATAAAATTGATTTTTAAGCAAAATTAAAAAACCTTCTGAGAATATTCCAAAAAAAACGAATCGGCCCCATTACGCCATTGCGCAATGTGCGATGGAAGTGTAAATGAAATTTATATGGCGGCGATGAATCTTAATTAGGCCTCCCTTTGACGCCCTTTGCAAATGGCAAACTCCACCTTCTCTCTCTCTCTTTCGCCACGGCGCGGGGGGAAATGCGAGCAAAAAGGCCGTGAGAGCGCCACTTTGTGCCAAAATGGCAATTA